GAAGCATATTGGAATATTTTCAATCTTTCCTGTGTTTCATTTGCAAGCTAAAAATGTTCCTAGGAAAAGGTTAGGTGAGAAAGCACCTTTCGAGGTCCTCAGTTCATCCCTGCTCCAAGCGAGGTTAACACCATTCAGTCAGACTTTCTGGGCCTTAGCCAGCAGAGCTGTGTTTCCAAGGGCAGAGACTTCATAGCCTCTCTGTGCACATGCTCCAGAGCTGAACCATTCTCACTATGAAGAACTTTTTCATTATGGCTGACTTTTTGTTGTCGTCTTTTGTTTTTGTTTTCCCTTGTTGCAGAATGTGGCTCTTGCCGCATACCCTTTCCGTCTTTCTTCTCTTCCACACAGGGTTATAGAAGACTTTGATTTGTTTCCTGCTCCCCGCCTTAGAGGTCTCATGTCTGTGCTACCCAAACTCAGTTTTACCCGAGGTGCCACTGTGCTCCAGTCTTTTTGCAGCCTCAGTGCTTCTCTGCTGGACTCTCCAGTTTGTTGGCACGTCTTTTGTGCTGGAGGGGCAATGACTCAACACGGTTCCTGGTGTAGCCTGTGGAGACTAAGTGTTTTCCTTTGCTGACTGTGTGCTTGCTTATGCAGCTAGGTGTGTGACCAGCTTTCATTATGACAGGGACACTAGCGGCTCACACAACTTTCTCACAAGGACCCCCACTTCTTTTTCTTCAAAGCTATTTATCTATCCAGTCTGCTGCTGTGTGGGATTAGTCCATCCCAGATAACGACCTTGCATATTTCCTTGTCGCCTTTAACGATGCTTCTATTGGCTGATTCCTGCAGCCTGTCAAAGTCTTCCTGGGAGATTTTTCTACCCCACTTTTTGTGGGGGTAGTTTCCCAAAGATAAGTATGTAGTTCCCCAATCTCTTGTGTTTGTGCTATACAAATACGTTTGAAGACGTTCTTCCTCGGAGCAATACATTTTTTTTTTTTCTGTAGACTGAAGAGGCAAATGGTGGCAGACACACAGTGCAATGAGCTTTGGGAAGCAGTCTGCCTTTACCAGCAATGGTGGCCATGTTGAAAGAACAGCCTGTCCTCCCTGGCCTGATGCCCAGCACCTGTGGGCATTTCCAGACCATTCATCCTGTCAGCCTCTCACCTACAGCAAGAAACGAGTGCTAGAGCACAGATCTGTCCCCAGAAAGCAAATGCAGACTCTGAGGTGTTCACCTGTGCTACACACTTGTTGAGGTAGTCAGTCAGGAGACTGCTACTGGACTAGTCAAGGAAAGCTTTATATAACACAGTTAGCTTCCTTTTGCTTCATGCCTTACCACATGCTTTGCCTCATCTCTCTTCTGCTCAGATCCTAAAGCTTCACCTCCACTCAGGGGTGCTTCTGTGGTGATACTTTGAGCCTACCGCGATGTACCCAGAAATGGCAGCATCTGAGAATGCATTTATTCCAGTCTGGCTCTAGACCTCACTCAGGACATTCCCAAGCTATATTCTGGATGGGCATACAGTATTAGTTCTTTTTCTGCTTTATGCCTAGTTAGCCGAGATCTACATTTTGGGGATAAATAATGGCAACTTACATAAGAGGATTTTTGACTTCATTTAAAGAAAGAAAAGATGCGTTAATGTAACTGGTTAGGCAGATCCTCCTCACTAGTAGCCGCCATTGCCTCTCCCTTGCTTGACACCCTGCAATATGCTCTTCTTTTCTCTCATGAGTTTCTATCAAATAAATCACAATCTTATTATTTTGTTCATTTCCATCCCACCAGCACAAGAGTGTTACAGTAATAATTAAACTGTTCTGGAATTACAAGTGACAATTAAAAAAGAAAGGATAGAAGTGGGGTGTCAGTGAGGAAGAATTGAATGATTTATTTTCTTCACCCTTGTTCCCTGTGTCATATTGTTGTTGAAGGAATAATATGGTCCTGCCTGATTAGATCTGTTTATGAAACATACTCTGTTCTATCCAAAGCCCCAAGCTTTCTCGTACTTTCTCCTAAAGCTCTCCCCTCTAGAAAGTCAATTCCACTAAATTTATTGTGCTTCACTATGTGAAGGCCCTGATTGCATCACATTTAAATGTGGTCTTCAAACATGATTTAACAGCCAAGGAAGTCAGGTCAATGTTGTGGATTTCTATCATGTTGTCTAAACTGACATATCAGGATTGAATTTCTGGAAGCCTGTATGTGTTCCCAGTTTCCTGGTAGCAAGAGCAGTTACAATTTGCTTTTGGCCATCCCAAACTACTCACTCTCACTCATTTAGAAATGGGAAAAGCAAGGATTTCTCTTAACACTGGACACATTGTTTTTGTATCTGAACTGCTAGACCCTTTGCAGCTATGCTAGAAGTATGTGAGTTTTGGAGGTTTTTTCGTTTGTTGCTATATCTTTCTTCGATCTCTTCTGCAGGCCTCAGTGAATTTCCTTGCACACCAACTTCTTTTATTCTCAGTCGTGATTTTGATTCACTCTCCTCTGGAATTCTCCAGTTGTCCTAAATTTTTCCAGAGAGCAGTGCCTGAAACTGGGCACAATATTTGCCTGAAGCCACTTCTGTTCTGGACACACTGAGAGGAGTATTTCCACTTTCCACACACTGAACACCTGTCCGTTCATCCCAGCATGATGATCTTGCCCCGTATGATGATCTTGTTCACTGGCACGTATAGTGTTGATTTGTGTTTGCCTTATGATCCAGTATATTCCCCAGATATTTTCTAAATTATTTCCTACAGAGGCAGCTGTTGTTGACCTCTGGGCGGCAGATTTTTTCTGCACATATTAAGGATCATCCGGATGTTTTCAGAATTTCTTCAACTTATCAAAAGCATTTTGAATTCTAGTCTTGTCCATGATAATGTCTGCAAACCTTCCTTGTTTCATGTCATCTGTCACTTTTTCGGAAGTGAAAGACACTGAGCTCCTTCTCTTCTCTCTCCCCTCATCTCTTCTTTCAGAGACAGACCCTGTGCTTGCACTGTTCCCACCATTGGTGACTCATCTGTCCCCAGCTGTTCTTCTCAAAATAACTGTTAACGGTTCTGAGACTGTTTCAGCCAGCGTTTCACATATGCCAGACAGATGTTTATCAGGTTCAGCCAAATTAGTAACATGTTATTCCAAGTGCTCCCTAATCTACTTGATCCTCATCAAGGCTATTTTTTATAGCATTTATTTACCCTTCTCTCACTGATGTTGCCTGTGCTAGTCACCTTTCACCTTTTCAGTGATAAGTGAAGGAAAATCTTACTTTGCAATTTTTGCTCTCTTCCATCCCCTTCTCCACTGAGCAATATTCCTTTGCTCTTTTGCTTAACATTCATGTACTTAACTGATTATGTTAATGTTTAAAACAGAGTAGTGTTTCCAGAAGTCTCTGTTCAGGGCTTATGTCCCTTTATGAAGAGGAACCTCTCCTCCATTTCAGAATGACACAGTTGTCACCAAATGGCACTGCTGGCTTTCCTGGTTATGGGCACACCTTGCCACAGGTGCTGATGCCGTCTCTCCATGTCTGCCACCACAGGGCAGGGTCAGCTCTCCTGGAAAATTACTGGAGCACTGCTAATATAGTGGGGGGAAAAAAAAGCAGACTAACTTGACTGAGGAGATGGGAGAGGATAAGAAGCACCTGTGTTGTCCACATTAACTTGTCATCATCTTAAGAAGGTTAGGAAGGCTACACACCTGGGCTAAAAGGAGAGCAACTTGGCCTATCCAAAGCTACCAGCAGTGAGAGCAAGTGGCACCTGGACATCAGGTTATATGCTACAAACGAACACAAACATACTTTTGCCTTTCTCATCTGCTTTCTTATGGGCTGCCAGTGGTTTTGGGGAGCAGATGTGCTGAGGTCGGGCTGTGCCCTTCCCTTCTAATATGGCCTCCAGCAGGCTCCAAGTTTTCTGTACACTGGGTAGGCATTTGCCAGAGTATGCAGCTGCTTTAAAATCTGTGTGAGGTATGGAGAGCTAGCCTGAGTACCAGCCTGTGCCTCTGTTCCCTCCTGATGCCTTTGGTCTTACACTGTTATCCTCCAAACTGGCATCCCTGATGGGACATCTTTAGAAACCTCTTGTCCTCGAACTCCACTGCTGTGGGATTTGTTGTCTCATCCCTTCAGGGCAAAAAAGTCCTGAACTGAAACACAAGAAATTCCACTTAAACAGGTGAAAAAAACCTTTTCTTTGTGAGGGTGATTGAATGCTAGAGCAAGTTGCCCAGAGAGGTTGCAGGTTCTGCATCCTCAGAGATGCTCAAAACCCATTTGGACATGGTCCTGTTCTAGCTGACTGTGCTCAGTGATTTGGTGAAATTTTGAGAGGAACAGAGCATAATGATTCAGATGATCAGAGGAATGGAGAACCTACCTTACAAAAAATGTTTATAGATGAACAAGTTAATACATGCTGAGTTTTGTTCCTTTCTTTGAGCAAAAGCAAGCCATGATTCCTCTGTGTAAAATACATTTTAAGGAGTATCTGACAAGGAAAGAATACTGAAGCTGAAGAACTACATTGGTGCAAGATTGGCATGTAACAAATTATAACCTGACATGGAAGAAAGTTAGATTTAAAATTAGGAGGTCTGAGTTTCTAAAGCAAAACTCCAGTAAGAATGGTAGGTGTTTCTGAAACAACTTATTTGACATACAGTAGAAAAGGATCAATCTCAGGCCCGGTGTTAACTAACTAGTAGAGCATGTTGCTGTTTGAAGCAGCAAACTTCAGGGGAAGCCCTGGGGAAGAAAGAGAGTTGGTAACAAGTGTGGGCAAATGCTGAGCTTAGCAGAAACCTAGCTAGTCTAGGTCTGATTATCTGTATACTGTCATGTACAGAAGGAAGATAGCAGATTTTCTTAGGCTAACTCTCTTTAAAATACTCTCTTATAGAACTGGTAGAGTTTTGAACTTTGCTGCCATCTAAAGCACTTCTCTTTTTCTTCTTCTTTTTTTTTTTTAAGGTGGATTTTGTCTTTCTTCTTTCTTTTAAACTACAGCAGTCCACCATGGAGAGAAGCTGGAAAATAAGAAGCCTGACTCATCTCCTAGATAGCATGGAAATAGCCCACAAAAATGATATAGCACTTTATACCTCAGGACATTTAAACCATAACAAGCTTTATAAACCTTCAGAGAAAATAAAACAGGGACAGTGGGATTCTTCCAGGAAGCAAACCAGCTTCATGAGAGAAAGAGATCAATTCCTGACTCAAACTGAGAGCTCTAAGAAGATGACAAAATTTTCAAGTAACTTTTATTCCTGCATCCCTCCACCTCCAGCACATACGGACTCTTCCTTCCCTACCAAGAGATATCCACAATCATCTGTGACTAGGGTTGGCCCCCCAGCAGATGTATCATCAACTCCACTGGAAAGTTTAAACCTGAAAGAGCCTAAAAAGAAAGTAGAGGAGGGAACTGACAGACTCAGTATGTGTCTCAAAAGAGATGAGTTAGATGTGCCAGAGATTATGGTGCTGAAAAACAAACCAGTTAAGAACAGCCGACAGTCTGTTGCTGAACCTGCCAAGGAGGAATACCAGTTTATACCTTCATACTTGGCTGGTATAACTAAAACTGATCAGTTTAACAAGTTCCTACATTTCCAGAGGGAGTTCATAGCAAAGCGTGAGTTACTACGGAATGATTTCACAGGGAGCAAAATATCAGAGCAGCATGAAATGAAATTAACTAAGGTAAGAGAAGAGAGTCCCCAGAATTGATAGAAAGATAAATTTTCCAAAACCTTTCTGGGAGAATGGATTGTTCTAGGGCTGGTTATGTGAGTTTCAGGGAAAAAGAAGAATGGTTTAAGCAAAAACACTGTATTGTGCTTGTCAGAGAGCTGATCCCATGGCTCAGTCACCCACTTTCAAGATGCATGTTTGACGTGCTCCAAAAAATGGAGCCCAGAGCTCTGCTCTGCCATGGCCTCTTCCACATCTTCATGTGGAAGTGTGGGTTAGGTACAAAGTAACACAGAATCTGGGCCAGCAGCTCCACAGGAACCAGCCTCTTGCTCAGCAGCAGCAAGGAAAAAGAAGCTACCTTCTTAATGTGTTTTATGGAGTACATCTTTGCACATAGACTGTTGCCAGTTAAGGGGATGCAGGAGAAATTTTGCTGAATTAATGCACCTAGCTGAAGCTACTGCGGTGCTCAAGGTGAGGCTGCCTGGGAGGAGCAGTAGCAATCTCATCAATCCCCTCAAAGCCACCCGTGGGAGCCGGGCGGCAGAACTAAGATACTGAACTCACAGGAGTTAGCGATGGAGCTTAGTGAGAGCTGTTGAGCCTGGGTAACGTAAGAAACAGCTACTGCTAGTATGAGGAAGGAAACAACGGGCATTTCATGTATATAAGGGTCACTTTTTGAAAGAGGCAACTCTTCCTTCAATTATGGCCAGATCTTGCTTATTTGTAAGAAAGATGCCAGCTAATTTATTAGTGATTCAGATGAGTAAGCAGTGATATTTGCAGAATTGGGGGAGAGATGGCTGCTGATAGAGAAAACAGATCAGGCTTGATGGAAGCAATCTTCCCACTAGTGGTGCTGAAGAAAAGTAGAAAATGGTAAAGAAATGACTGAGGGAATAAGGCATCCTCTTTCTTGGATGCTTCCAGCAATCTGTTAAACTTTGAAATGAGGTAAATGAGGGGACAAATTCATCTGATCTACCTGAGTAACCAGCATGCTCCACTAGCTCCTGGGAGGTATCATCTGCCATGCTGTTAACCACTTTCCAGAGAGTTGGTTGCTTCCCATCTCAGTAAATATCCCCAGACAACATTTTCCTCCAGTGCTGTGGGTTGAGAGGCAGAAGAAAAAAGATGGGGGTGGGGGAATAAGAGCAAATTATTGTAACATGAAAAGATAGCAATTTGATCTTGCAATTTTTCCAGAAAACACTTTCCCCCAAAGAAAAAGTTTTTCCAAAGAAAAAGTTTGAATCTGTAATTTTTTTGTGTGTCACTAGAGCTCCAGTGAATTTTAGCAGAAAGCTATGTTAACTAGCAGCAATGGCAATCTAATGGACAAGTTTTCTATTAACCTGGGTTTGAAACCTGAATATTTTCAAAGTAATAAAGAAGAAGAAGAAAAAACTTCCTTAGTCCACTATCTACCTAAAGAACTTGTGAAAAAATTTAAGAATGGAGTATTTTGAACTGTGTCGAGACATGCTAGAGAAAATGTTCCTATGAAAGAAGTAGCATAGGGTGCCTATGAAATGTTTTCTTTCTCTATCCAAGGTTTGTTACAGCTGATATGTAGAATCATGATATTCTAAAGCATGATTTTAACTGTTGCATTCCTTAGCTAGGGTTTCTTGAGTTATTTGTTTGTTTGCTTATCTTGTCTCTCTGAATTACCAATTGCTTTAAAACCTGCAAAATGTTTCAAGGGCTGCTTCTTGCAGCCCTGGAGATGATCTGTTGAAATCAATAGACTGAGTCATCCTTATGGAAGGACTGGTTGTAAGCACGTGAGCAAGACGCTTCACAAGAAGTGCAAGCCTAAGGTAATAATTGCCCTCTGCCCAGCAAATCTAAGTCGTCTTTGTTTTCTCCTCCTCTTTTTGGTGGTCAATACATCCTGTCTTGTTGAATGTGAACTTTCTTCTTATTGATCAAAATACAGACCATGGACTTGATATCCTAACCACATATTCTTCAGTTGAGAACCCTCTCATGATACTTTTTGCTACATACATTTACTACATTCACAGAATGAATGGCATGAATTTGCACCAATTAAGACATTCTGACAGTAGCTGTTTTAGAGCATCTTCTCTATATGCATTTGTATAGCTATTCATGCTGATGATTGTACAGGAGCTCCAGAAAACCTGCGACTGTGATGCCTGCCATTTCAAACGACTACATGTTGTTGAGAAAGTGTTTGAAGATATTTGCAACAGCTCTTTGATATTTGGTGATATTTTGAAGAAAATTAAGGTAAGAAACATTCCCGAGTTTAGCATGATATTATCTAAATGTACTAACTGCTGCTTTACCAAGTAAAAAAAAGTAGCCCTTACCAACAATTTTCTCAGTGCATCTGGCATGTCTATCCACTCTTAGCTGCAATGACAATGCAATAGTGACAGTGCTGGGAATTCATAGTTTTCAGGAGACCTTTATCTGACCCTTTGCTTACACGCTAAAGTCAAACACACCCAGCAAATAGGCAGGACAGCATCATCACATGCAGTACTGACATTTGCACTGGCTTTAACATCTCTTTATGATCAAGTGGGAGAAGAAGTCAGCTACTGGGAGAGATGTTGGAGCGCCATTCCAAACTTTCCACTAATGCATAAAGTTACGTAAACAGATACCAAACTTTTGGCTACAACTTAAGCACTTTGATAAAGGCATCACTAAAAACAAACAAACAAAACCCCCCATGAAAACTTTATTATTATTATTTTCTTTCTGGAAATATAATCCTAATTCTAAATTCCTGTAAAGATTTTTGGAATAAAATCAAACCATAACCTAATAACTTACTAGTAAATTCGCTCTCTCTTTCCTTCTTTGATAGCTGCAGGTCAAAAGTCCTAATCCTATCCGACTTAGAGCAGTGTTGAGTATTCTTATCTTTTGATTTCTTACTGTGCTAAGGATAATTTTTGAAACCCTTTTTGAGGGGAGCAAAGTTGTTTGTTTCTCTTCTTTGACACTCAAAATAGTGATTTGTATATGGAACACAACTACAGCATTGCACTCTGATTTGTAACTGTGATGTTGTTTTAGTGATGATAGAAATTCTACATTGACACCCAGTAATAACTGAAAGGGAGAAAAATGTCAGTCCTCTGTATCTGTAGGCAAAATAATTACCACTAAAATCTAGCAGTTGTAGGGGGGAGAATACTGGGCAGGCAGTGCAAGCCAAGACATGCTTGAAGAAGAGAAACAAGATGGGTAGTTTAATTGTTCTAAGAATTATGTTGGCAAAGGCAAAATCCAAATGATCAACTTTGGTGAATTATACACAGAAACAGAAGTAAAGCTTTGGGCACCAGCAGAAGAGTTATTTTTCATATCTACAAAATGAACCAAAAGGAACCAAAATGAAATCAGACTGTATAATCCCTGGACAATGTTAAACATTTTCTAATACTTTTCCTTCCTCTCAATTTGTTTAGAATGGCTATGAGCAGTACATGATGATGCTTCTAAATTCCCTGCCTACAGAACAATTCAAGGTAGTATTTGCTTGTCAACATTAGCTTCGAATTAATCCATGGACTCAGTGTTTTTTGTTTTTTAAATAGGTGTTTCAGATGCACAAACAGACATGAGTCTTTCTTTTCATCCTTTGAGAGATCTTTAGCTCTTGGAACAAACTTACCATTACTTATTTGGATGTGTTACCTACTAGTAATGGAAAATGAGCATCATCTGAGTATTGTTTTAGTGGTGTCTTATGAAATTAAAAAGTAGGTTCACTCTAGAATAGTCATGCTTGACCTTGGAAAAAGTTGTCCTTCCAAATGGCAAAACGCCCCTTGTGTCCAGATCATTATGGGCATGTTACAGAAGCACATTGCAGTCATACAGCTCGTTGCACAGAGAGTGAGCTGGCTGCCTCAGGTAAATATTCCATCTCGTTTTTTGTAGGGGTGGTAAAATCGGAAGTTGAATGGGAAGAAGGGCAATAAAGACAGCAGTGGAGGAAGGCAGTAGTATTACAAGCCAGCATCTCCTCTTTAGTGAGACTATACTGAGTCTTGCAGCAGACGTTCTGCAGAAGTCCTGCTGTACAGGGGCTTATGCTAGCATAAGCCTGGTAAGAATGTTGCCACCCAGTGATTTCCTACCCCCAGTGACATGTCACTTTTGGCAGGAGAAAGAGGGTCCCTTTCCCTGCTGACCCTTACCCCTGGGCAACTGCCTGGCCCAGTCTTGGCCTGATCCCATACCTGTGGTGCTAACTAGGACAGTGAGGCAGGCCACAGTGATGAGGCCCAGCCCTGGACCACCAGGAGTCCTCAAACACCAGCACTAAGGAGCTGCTTCTCATTCCAGACCCTACACTTCATGGCTCTGGGACAATCATCTCTAACCTGCTAAAAGTCCTATTTACCTTTTTCTTCATTATTTTTATCTAACTTTCTGCTTCTCTATCCGATCCTTTTGCATTCCTCTTCTTTTTTTTTTTTTTTTTTTTTTTTTTTACTTTTCATACCTCAAAACAACACCCCCACCTTCCCTGCTGGCTCTGCAGGAGGGCACTATCCATCGAACCCGAGCACATCCTTTGGATGTACTCCATGGATCTCACTCCAGGTATCCACTCCCTTTGGCACTGAGCCCAGGAGCTTCTGTGGATTATTGACAATCTGTTGAAACCACAATGAGAGGTAATGATGAACCTGGCACCTCTGACAGCCTATGTGCTTTGTCTAGCCTAAATAACATGCTGTTAAGCAGCAAAGCACCCAAAAGAATTGTCTGAAAGCAAGGGTTTTGGATGGGTCTGAGTCTGTGTTATTGGCTGGTTGCGATATACAAAAGCAACTGTCAATGCTTGTTCTATTTTTAATAACCCTTTAATCTATTTACCAATTCCAAAGACTTCTTTGCATGACTCTGAATCCCACCATTGGTTCATGCCTGGCCATGTTAGCTTATTCGCATGTCCAGCTTATTCAGTAGTTTCCATCAGAATTGAATTTTACTGAAAAATGATGCCATTTTTTAAAAAAAGGAAATATCCAAGGACACATTTTGTGTTTGTTCACATTTTATTCTTTTACATTTGCAGATTCTGAAAGCTCAGGCCAAAGGGATGAAAACAAGACCCTCAAAGGCTCAAGAAATAGAGGCAGTCAGGAAAGATGTGCAGGTTCTTATGAAGAAAGCCAAAAATGCTTTGAAAAGAAACCAAGAGTAAGTGTTGCTAATACTAGAAACCTGCACACTGTTTGACCCTACTACATAGATAGGATAAAACAGCTACAAATAAACAGTTGCTAAAAAAAGCAGTTTTGAATATTTCTCCCCTTAAAGAGAAGGCCAAGGAATCATATCCTATGGATGACCTACTCTAGGTAAAAATGTTTCTGCTTTGGTTCACTTTCACCTTCTCATGCCCTTTTTATTTATCAATCACATTGGGATACATGGCTTAGGTTTGAGCAGGGGAAAAACTTTTTTGTTTTGCAATTCCTGACTGATCCTCACTAAAAACTTACGTGGCCACAGAGAAGTTCCCTGACCACAATGACTGTCGCCTGCATCATCAGGCTGCAGAGCTGTGTTGCTATAGCTCGGACCTTGGCTTCTTTCCTTTCTATGGAAGCAGCCTAACCTGTGTTTGCTGTGTCCTATCTCGAGACAGGACTTGGTTTCACTTCCTTATTCACTTCCTGAGAGACTGACCTAGCATTTCCATGCCTTTGTTTTCTACTTACCCCTGATATTTTATGTTGCAGCTTCTGAATCTTCTCCCTGCTCAAAGCTCTGATCTGGCCTGCTACCTACGATGTTTGTGCTTAGTTCTAGACCTCCAATCTTTAGACTTAAAAGCTGTCCCATTAGGAGATCTTGCATACAGACTTCCTTGTTTTATTTTCATCATACAAGATTGTAGATGACACCAAACTGGGAGGAGTAGCTGACACTCCCGAGGGCCATGCTGCCATTCAGAGAGACCTAGACAGGATGGCAAGTTGGGTAGAGAGGAACCTTCTGAGGTTCAACAAGGACAAGTGCAGGGTCCTGCACCTGGGGAGGAATAACCCGAGGCACCAGTACAGATTAGGGGCTGAGCTGCTGGAAAGCAGCTCTGCAGAGAGCGATTTGGGAGTTCTGGTTGACAACAAGTTAACCATGAGGCAGCAGTGTGCCCTCATGGCCAAGAAGGCCAATGGGATCCTGGCCTGCACCAGGAGGAGCGTTGCCAGTAGGATGAGGGAGGGGATCCTGCCCCTCTACTCAGCTCTGGTGAGGCTGCACCTGGAGTATTGGGTGCAGTTCTGGCTCCCCAGCACAAGAGGGACGTGGAGCTTCTATAGAGTGTCCAGCGGAGAGCCACGAAGATGATTAAGGGACTGGAGCATTTGTCATATGAGGAAAGACTAAGTGAGCTGGGCCTGTTTAGTCTGGAGAAAAGAAGGTTGAGAGAAGATTTCATTAACATGTTCAAGTATCTGAGGAGTGATTGTAGGGAGGATGGGACCAGGCTCTTCTCCGTGGAGGCCAGTGACAGGATGAGGGGTAACCAGGGGAAACACAGGAAGTTCCACCTCCATATGAGGAAGAACTTCTTTCATGTGAGGGTGACAGAGCCCTGGAACAGGCTGCCCAGAGAGGCTGTGGAGTCTCCTTCTCTGGAGATCTTCCAAACCCACCTGGATGCCACCCTGTGCCACATGCTGTAGATGTCCCTGCTGGAGCAGGGGGTTTGGACTAGATGATCTCTAGAGGTCCCTTCCAACCTCAGCCATTCTGTGATTCTGTGATTATTCCATCATTGCTGTCTTTTAGCAACTTGAAGAAAAAACAAGTCAGTTTTTAACTCAGCTGATGAGTTCCCCTGCTTTTCTATCCTATTTCATATAAATGTTACTACAACTAGACTACATGGCTAAAGAGGTCTTTTGTGTCTACTTCACAATTGTTTTTTTTTTTTCATTTTATTTAGTGTGTACACATTGCAATATTTACCCTGTGCTTTCAAAATGTACAGTCCATGATTTGGCAGTTAAGATAATGGAGTGGGAGAGACTCATGGTCCCTAGTTTCTGCTAGCGTCAACAGTCAGGATACTAATTAACAGAGGCCCAGTACTCTAACATGTGTACACATGTCCACAGAGAGAGAATTCATGATGTGTGGTGGTGTGCGATGTGGTAGTATGTGCCATGAATTTAAGATGGATCAGGGACATGGCATGGAATATTTATAGAGCATGCATATGCAAATTTTATCTAGGCTAGAGAGATTGATTTTTATGTAAGCTTTTATAAATGTTTCAGAAGAAAAGGGGAAAAACATGTCATATTATCTTCTGCCAAAGGATGGATAGGGAATAATAATAAATACCCCAGATGATGTGAAGGAATTCTTGAAAGATTTTACTGCTATATGTATACAAATCATTGGATTTAAGTCTTTAAGCCTTCAAAAAGTCTTTAAGACTTTTTGGGTCTGGACAGTAATTTGTTTCCAGAAAAGTCTAGGAAGTTGCTCTATGCTAATGATAGTTTTCCATTTTTTTCAGGAAAGCTAACAATCAAAATCTGATGTTCTTATGCATTCATTGCTACTAGGATCCTAACACTGTTTTTTTTTCTCTCTTTTTTTTTCTGTTGTTTTTGGCAATTCTTTCTTTACATGTAATTCTTTCTTTGTATGGGGAAATTGTCTGGTTGGTGGGCAGGGGGAAACAATTTCACACAAGACTGATGCCTTATTTTAAAGTAGCCTTGATTAGTAAAGTTGGAACATCTGATAGGATTTTGAAACTCTGGTGAGGGGAGAAAAAATAAGAATGCTGAAGTATATACAAAGAATTGAACTGTCAGCTTATGTTATTGTGCTTATATAGATCACTATGTGTGTAAGTAATGTGTAATTGCCTCAGTATTTCCACTCAGTGAACAAGAAGGTTTCCCTCTCAGGAAAAGAAGCTGACATTTTAATGAAGCAGAGGTGACTGTCTGAATCCTGTTTGCTTCTCACATGCAGTCAAATCTTCTCTCTTTTGCCTCACTGAGCATTCAGATCACCTAGAGTCACTTCACTGTGTTTCATGAGCTTAAATTTGCTATATGTCATATTAGAGCAGAATTTTGCCTCTGGATATCAGTAATAATCTTCATTATGTACAAGAAATGTGGAGTCATCTACATTTATTGGTGCTTATTGTATGGTCTTGAAAATATATCTGTGATCATCCTAAAGTGTTGTTCTCTCTTGTTCTGTTCTAGACTGCAGAATGAATTCGAAACAGTGATGTGGATGAGCCAGACCCCTATGGATAAAACAGGTGAGTGATACGACAATTCTGACTCAAATAAGAATGAAATGTGGTCCAAATTAGGGTAATAAGGTATCCTAAATGGTTTAAAAGAAAATCAAAACAAAAATTGTTCTCATCCCTTTTTCTTTTTTTTTCTTTTTTTTTTCCTGTTAGTATGATAAAAATGTCAGGTGCATAACATTTTTTTTATTCCTGATTTCATCTAAAACCATGTGATGTCATTAGGAGACTTTCTAATGCTTAAAGAACCTAGAAACTTGCCAAATTTTCTCTGTGAGTCCGTGACTGATTCTGTCACTGTTAGAGTCACAACATGATAGTGAGGTAAAGATGTCTCAGAGGATGGTATGCAAAATCCTTCAGCTGGCGTAAGTGTGATAACTGGGTTTCATGCTTACTGTGGGTGGTTTAAGCCCTGCATCATGTGATTTTTTTTCTATAGGCCTTCATGAGCTTCTTTTCAGCATTCACTGTATCATTCATGGTTGCTCTAGTTATCCATGCAAAATTCCAGACCTTGGGTCCTTTCTAGGTTTCTTGGTTTAATAACAACAATGAGGTTTACAGTCTACTTTTATATATTTTCTGAAAAAAAGTAGTGTCTTTTGATAATGTCTTTGATCAGTAGAATCTAGATCAGGACTTTTGAATTATCCATAGTAAAATAAAATATGTAAATCTAGAAAGCTGTGAAAGGGAAAAAAGAGAAAAGCTGAACGGGTTTGATGAACTGGTTAAAATCTAGAAAATGCCATTAGGGTAGAATACAGTATGACTGATCTAACCACATAGTGCATTTGCATTTTATGACTTAGCTTTGAATGCAGCTTTTCAATATAGTTTTCTTCCAAAGCATGAGAACGTACCAGTTTGCAAGTTGTAATTCAGCACAACCTTCCTTTTTTGAGGAAAGGGGGAGCTCCAAACCTGCTTTATGTACAGTGTTTCAGCAGCCCAGTGTCCTACAGTAAGCTGTGTGGAGTGATTACCTTCATCCTGTGTGGTTCTTACTACTGGTTTCTAGCTCTCTTTTATAAACTCTCTTTCAGTAGGAGATGCACAGTCAAATGAGCTTCTGCTTTTTCTCTCTTCCTCAGAAATTAAGCTGGCCCCAATTCCTCCCTAGTGTAACTATCTTCATATCAGTGAATGTATGCCTGGGTGCAGCTGCCCTGATTGTGTTTGTATCTACAGTATGGTACAAGGTTTGAATTCCAAAGCTTTGTAGCCAACCACTAAAAAAAGCATAAAATCACTCATTGGCTCCAGCTCTCCTGCAGGACTAATGAATAAAACAATCAGAAGTTTCTAGGCCAAGGCATTTTTGAGAAACACTTTTGCATAAA